AGCTCAACCGCCAATACATTCTTGTCATGTACATACTGATGCACAAAACACTAAATGGACAACACAGAAAAAAAACTGTGGGCAAACCAGAAGCTGAGCAGACCCCTTTTGTTTTCTCTGAAGTGATACTTCATTCATAAAAAGATCACCCTGGATTTAGCTATCACGCTGATGTCTGCAGGATAACAGTACAGATCAACAATGATGTTTAATAAGAATGGAAGGAAACCCCAGAGAACCAAGCAGGAGACAACAGAGCTTGCAACTCCTTAGGACAGGATCAGTGCAGGCAGAAAAACTACAATTATTCTTACAAACAGAAAAATCCATGGGAACTAACAACAACAACAACAACAAAAATCCCTAAAGAAACCGAGCCCACACCTACGCACACAATACACTTATTTTAACCCATTTTTTCCCAAGTCACAACAGCTGAAGCTGTTTTAGACAGTCAAGAGACAGCTCTGTCTGGACAGCCTAGAGATTTCTCTTTGCAACTCTGCTCCCCACTCCATTTAGACAAGGACAAAAACAGCTATGACTCAAACCTGTACCTTAAGAGGAAGCTGACTATTACATTATTCATAGCCTACAACTCTAGGAGGTTGAAGGCATTTTTCAAGAGACCATTTCCCCTGAAATTCTGTTTGAAAAAAACCCATCCATGCAGTCTTGTGTACACTTTCCTGTACAGTAAAGGCAGATCCTCTACCTACCTGTCTCAAAGAAACTTGCAAACTGTTGTATAGTTTTAGCTTTGTACCATAAGGATGCAATTTTCTTACAGAAAGAAAAATCATAATTATTTCAGTCTTTTTTCTTACTGAAAATAACAAAATTCCTGACTGATAAATCAAAGCTTGGGCAATGCTCAAATTCTCTTGTAATAAATATACTTTTGAACACAGTATTGTTCTTAGTACAGAAATGTTAAATGAATCTGAGTTTTTTTCCTGTACCACGCCAAGTATTCTGCTTCACAAATCTGAACTGGAATCAGATTCTTGTGGAAACTGTATTTGTATCCAAAGCTCAGAGCTATGCTTTTATTAAAGAGCAGGTGCTTCCCAGCCTTGTCAAATGAGACTGTGACAGAGACGTTGAGTAAGATAATTAAGACTGAACACCTCTTTGGTTGCTATTTGTACATTCATCGAATCATAGAATGGTTCAGGTTGGAAGGGACCTTAAAAATCATCTAGTTCCAGCCCCGCTGCCATCAGCAGGGTCACCTTCCACTAGGCCAGGTTACTCAAAGCCTCATCCAACCTGGCTTTGAACACTTCCAGGGAGGAGGCATCCACAACTTCTCTGGGCAAACTGTTCCAGTGTTTCACCACCCTCACAATAAGGAGTTTCTTCCTAATATCTCATCTAAATCTACCCTCTTCCAGTTTAAAGCCATTTCCCCTTGTTCTGTCACTACCTGCTCTTGTAAAAAATCCCTCTCCAGCTTTCCTGTAGGTCCCTTCGAGTATTGGAAGGCCACTATAAGGTCTCCCCAGAGCCTTCTCTTTTCCAGGCTGAACAGCCCCAACTCTCTCATAGGAGAGGTGCTCCAGCCCTTGGATCATCCTCGTGGCCTCCTCTGGACTCACTCCAGTAGGTCCATGTCATTCTTAGCAACTTCTTTTTCTGGGAGTAGAAACAGCACCAAATTGTGGGAAAAGGCATTAAAACCAACAATACACACATGCTACAAGACAAACGGTGGGTTTTGATCTTGTGGTCGAGAAATTATTCTGAAAGAGGATTGAACCCAAGGCCCTGGTTCAACTGAGAACTGAAGTAGTAAAATAGGGACAGAGGGCAACTCCCGGTACTCACGTGAACCACAACAGCCACTGTGTTTCCTTAGGTACATGACTGACAGCCACATCACAGAAGTTTCAGAAAAATCAACAGTTAGTTTGCATGCTTGCAGTGTACAATTCTAGGTAATACTTTTAGGAAAAGAGATGGATCTATCATTTACACAAAGAATGAGACATGAAGAAACTCAAACGGACAGCTTTTCCAGTCATTGTCACTGAAGGAAATGCTTTGAGCTCAGTGTCTGATCCACTTGGTAATTCTCTGCAACCAGACTGGCCTTTGGAGGAATCAAAAGTAGTCACAAAGTGAAGAGACAAGACAAAATAGAGAAAGCAGTTTCCTCTCTCCCATCAAAATTTGACCTCAGGAAAATGATGAGTAACTGATTTTGATGAAAACCTTCAAATTTACCCTAAGAAGTTCAACACAGTCATTATACACTGACTCTTTCTTGGCCTCTAGAATATGGGTGCCATTATACAAGCACAGGCAGTTTCACCTGGACCATCAGGCAGCACAGCTCCCAAAATGCGTTATTGTCACTTCCCGAGAACTTTGACAGGAATTCAGACCTCAGTCAAATTTCATTTTTCTTCCATAAAGCCTAAGAAGTAATGATGAATAGTTCCAGGCATTTTCACTTTTTCTGCCCCTGGAGAGGAGCACTAGCAAGCACAGGACTTGCATGCACAAATGCAAGCTTGATGGACAGCAAATAGAAAAAAAAAATTCTCTTCTATATAGCACATAAGCATCTACTCTGGATTCCAGCGCTGACATACATTCAGAAACATGACACTGACGTAGAATAAAATGAGTCCCACAACTGATCTAAATGGGAGGGCTATAGTGACACTTTAAAGGGAAAAAAAACCCCCTGTTTTTTCTAACTCCCTTCCTAAGAAGAAAGACTGAATAGGATTTATTTTCCTTTATAAGCTAAACTAATTTGTATATCATAGCGCATAACCTACCTGTCACTTTAATCCTCTGATAAGCTGCTTGAACAGAGACCCAGGCTCCAGCAGTCTCATTTCACGTGACTATTTTAGTACCCATTATTAAATAATACCGATTGTATTTAGGTATGATTTCTCTGGCAGACCCTGGCTGTACACTGAGTTTTCCTTCCAAATCTTTGTTTAATCTCAGGGAAATCTCTCACAAAGCCTTCAATGTACATCTCTCAGACCAATTCAGAACTGGATTTATTGTTTTAAGAAGTAATTTTTACAGCAGTAATTTGACAACAAATTCTTGTCATTTGTGCAGACCTGCCTTTGCTCACTTTCAAATAAGTTATTTCCTTCACCACAAGATGCACCTTGGTTCTAATTTGCTGACTGTACATCTTAAATACTCTTATTCACCAACAAACCCATTCATTCTCACTTTAAAATACAGAAATGTGTGTTGCTAATTCTGTCAAAATTAATGCCATACCAAAAGGAACTACTGAGAAATACTGATTCTGTGAACTACTGAGAATGAAAGTATAATAGGCCAGAAACTTTTCTTTTTTTCCTAGTCTTAGTCTAAATGAGCCAGGTTTTGTGCTGCTGACCTTTCTGAAGCAGGATACTCTTCCCTGGTGCAGATAAACAGATCAAATGGAGTTTTTCAGAATGACCAAACATGCCAAGAGCTTAGCTCCCATTATTAACAAAGCACTCCCTCGCATAAGTAATTATTTAAATTAAAAATAAACATTAATCAAATGTTTTAAAAGTACTAGCAAAGACTGTATACTACATAGATGTGCAATAGACAAGGACTCCTCCTATTAAATTCACCACTACAGTTAGTACCAGATACTAATGGGAAGATACAGATAAGAGAAGTTTTTACTGGAGAGACGTCCACCATGCTCCAAGTTTCTTCCCACTTAAGTTTCCAAATCCCTTGAGAGTCAGGAGTAATGCCTACCTGTAACAAAAAACAGATTCCAGTGACAGAGCCACAACAAACGATTTGCTGGACAAATCTGTTGCAGTCTAGAGACTACAACATGGACCTGCAGACTGTACTCATCCTGTCCAGCTTTCGCAGAACCTTTGGCCTCTGCTGACTTTAGCACTTAGATGTATTTTCACAGTGAAATGGATGGTTCAAAGTTTACTTTACTTTTGTTCCAGACCTGAAGCAGAGCTTGTGGGTCCAAAAGGCAACCCGTTTCCTTTTTAAATCAACAGATGTGGTTGTGGGAAGCGAGAGATAATACCTCTTCTTACAAATGGTCTCACTTAGGTACCTAGTGGGATTTTAAAAACATTTGAGAAAGTTATCTTGTATATTTCAAGTAATCTGGAAAAGTTAAAAGAAAATCAGATTTTTTTTTTTAAAAGGATACACATGCACACACCCCGCCCCAACAGTGTCAGAGTGAAGACTGGGTTACATGTGAATTCAGTTTACATTACGTGAAGAAGTCTCAGTGACTTTAGTAATGGTATGACCCCATCCCTCGTCCCCTCCACACACACAACCCCCAGTAAAGCAAATTAAGTAGGAACTAAGCCTTCCTTCCTACCACATCAGTAAGGCAAGAGTGCTGCGAGTTCCAGCAAAGCTCCTGAATACTCTGCTCATAGACTGTACTGGCCATCAATTAGATCATTCCTGAATTAAAGAAACACCCAGAAACAATTTTGCATAAGGACTATTTTCTTTCAAAGCACAACAGAAAGTTGGCATGTACTACATTTACCAGAACTGTAATCTGGTTTAAGCATGGGTCTATTTTTTAAAATCTTCAGCTCTCACCTATAGGCTATTCCAGAACCCTGCGAGTCAGCAGATAGTTAGGGTTTATTGGAAAGCTTCCTTCTTTAGGTCACCTTTACTTCTTCTCAGTACTTTGCAGAAAGTGTGAAAAGAACTACACCATCAGCCTTCGCTATGGACAACTGTCTATAACTGTCCAGAATCTAGAACATGAAGCATTCAGCATGCAAAATTGAATTTTGATATATAGACCTCTAATAAATCAAAAATTCTGCAGACTACAGAAAATTTAACTCAACAGCAGCCATATAACAAACAGCTTCTTTCAGGTATTTACAGTATACTTAGCATCATGTCACGAGTTTAGGTATGGCTTTTGTCCTATTCCAGATACCCATACGTTTTAAAGTATCTCAAACAACCAGATGTCTAAAGGAAATCAGACACTACACAGGTTAAACAACATGGTTCTATTAAAAACTATCTTTAACCATGGCACTCAGTGACAGCAATACAATACTTTTTTCCACAAAGCAGCTAATATAAAAATATGCCATAAAATCATCTGTAGACTAGTACGCTAGTACATACATGTAATCATAACATTCTGTTATAAACTCTTTCCTGAGATACCTTGGGTTGTTTGTTTTTCTTGTATTACTGGATGCATTATCTTTATGATTCATCTGAAACAATTGTAAAATATTTTGTATGTGCAGGACACTCGGTAACGTGTAAAAAGTAGCATGTAAATATATGGCAAAGAAACAGCTCTTAAAAATTACGCGCTTTTTTACTGTGTTGCACTTTTTTAACATTTGGCTCCTCGGGAGATTGGAAGGGAGGGGCATTAAAAACCTGAAATTAGAGCTATGAAGTGACAAAAAGCAGGAAAGCATTTCAGGAATGTTAGAAGTTGGAAAATAATATAAATGACACAAAGAGAAAGCCATAATTCATGTTGGCTATGTATTGCCTTATAAAGCAACTGGACATATTTTAGTCAGTTCACAGTATAATAAATATTTTTACTAATCTGTTTTGGAAGAGTAAATGTCTTTTAGGGTTTCAAGCTCCTCTATAAGTTTCTTGTTCTGAACTTCTAGCACTGCAACACGACTCTCCAGACATTTTATGTATTCTTTCTTCCGACGTCGACATTCTTTAGCAGCTTCCCTGCAAAAAGCAGAAGTAAAAAGTGCAAACAAAAAAGCCATTTGCATGCCATTAGAAAGCTCAGCAGAGTATGGAGAATATGACAGAATTCCAAATTTTGGAATATCTCCCAGATCAGTCTGAAAACACTAAGCAAAACTGGGTTCCACAAGGGCCTCAAGTGTCTCTTTCTCAAGTTCATACGGCAATCTGTAGAATTGCTTCCTCTCATGCTTTGATTAAAGTTCATAATAAACAAGGTCCAAATGAAAGACAGTTATTCTGCTTTATGACAATAAAGATCTTTGAGGGCCTTGAGTTCCTCAATGAGAGTCTTGTTTTGGTTTTCAAGCACAGCCACACGATTTTCAAGACATTTGACATATTCCTTCTTCTTTCTGCGACATTCTCTGGCAGCTTCCCTGGAACCAATACAAGGCAAATGACTACAGGAACAGCCACAATATGGCAAAGACTGGGTAAATGAAATTACCTGCAATCTTGCAATACAATAACAACAACAACAACCACCACCACCAACAACAACTGCTGCTGGATTGCACAAACAGAACAGCACGTAACAGCCATAAGCAACAACGCAGCTAAAATACAATTTGAAACAACTAGAACTTGAAACAAATTCAGCATCAGCAAATACAAAGATGGAATTAAAACACAGAGGAACTGAGACAAACAGGAAATGATAACGTATGGACCTGAGCTGTACTAAACATTAAGACTGAAAGCAGCATTTCTTCCACTCACATTCCATTTTGTGTGTTTATCAGGAGTATTATCTTCTGCAATCAAAATCTTAAAACCAAACCCAAAAAATTTACTTTCAGAAAATACAAGTATAACACTACTCCCTTCAGATCAAAAGCTAGATGCCAAGCTTGCAACCTGCTGTCATTTTTTTTACCATAACAATCTACAGTAAAATTTAAGTCCAAACAAATAGAATTTACTAGCATTTCTGAACTGTCCCCCTGGGCACATTTCAGCCACATGCATCTTGGTTTTTTTTTAGTGTTGGCAAATAGCAGTCTGAAGCCATTCTCATAGCTCTGCTCAAAATTCTGTTATACTGAAGGTAAACACCTTGCGTAGCATTTTCAGAAGCATGTGACTGAACAAGCATTCAATTCGAGAAGAAATTTTAGAAGTACTGGGAGTCCACTCCTTTAACAACTTGGAACATGAGAAATTGTCAAATTGTGAGAGTGTAACTTTCCAGCAAGTGATAGGAGAGATTGCACAGACAACAGTTTTAAAACTGAAGAGAAGAGAAACAAAAGGTGACACAAAAATTCAGCAATCCTCGTGAGTAATTCAAAACAAAGGACAGGCATGAGAGCAAAGCAATACTGTTAATTCAATGATAAGGCAAGTGGCTATTCAATGTATTAGAGATCTGCATAGCAGACTACTTCCATTTATCTAACTGCCACTGATAGCAGCAGCTATGCATTTAAAAAAAAAGGTCTTGAAGAACAGCAAGAAGAATGCCCAGAGAAAGACTGGCACTTAACAGTATATAGTCAAGTCCACACCAACTAATTAAAAAACATACAGCCAACTCACAAAATGAAAGAGGCACTGCACAATAATTTATCCCAGTAGCTAAGTATTTAGGAAAGTCTATAATTATCATTCCATCCTAGAATAAGTCCTCTTCACAGCATCATTAATGGACAGCTGCTAATGAGATCCTCAGATATTTTCCTAACCAATTATTTGCTGGGATGTTTCAAGATGAACAATCCCATAATGGTCATTTTACTGTCAGGGGGCGGGGAAGCAACAATAAGTATAGCTCCAGATCATCACAAAAATCAGAAAGGGACAACATTAATACTGGTTTCTGAATTACCATAATTAGAACTAAAATTCCATGGTGATAAGGTCACCTCTAACTTTCCTGAATTAGCAGCCAATACTCAATGCTATAGGATGTGGGACGACTGACAAAGAATTTCTTGCCTTGCCTTCATCAATCACAGGCAGCACTCATGGCCTTAAGAAGAAAACTTCATTAGAATGTTTTGGGGGCTTTTTTGCAATGCTGTTAGGTGTTACATAGTCTTACCTATTTTTCATAAGTCTCAGCTCTCTCTTGCGTGTTGCCTCTTCTGCCAGTTGCTGAGGGCTGTGCAAAGTCCCTGGTGAGGCTGCCATTACCACTCCCTGAGGTAAGGTAGTAGTGGGAGTTCGAATCTGGTAAGTTGGCATGTCTCCAGTGGCAGCTGTATAAAAGAATCATATTTTAAACTTTATGGCAAAAAAGAACCATGCAAAAGTTTCTCTGGAAATAACAGATTTCTGTTGATGAGTTATCCAGGATCCCTGCCACATAAAAATATATCACAGGCCTATAGTATCACAACTATATTTGTTATCTTAATAGCTTTTATTTTCACACTGTAAAATAAGTTATCTAAATTGATCCAGCCTGTGGCCAGACTGAAGCCTGTGAAAGCTTCCACATGGCTCTTTTCAGGCAACACAGGGAAAGCTGTTTGAGAAACACTGTCAGAGCATCTACACTTATTTCCTGTTTGCACAATCTCATTAAAAGATGGTCCTGCTGTTGCAGCCACTGAGCTTCGTATGCTACCCTTGTCCTCTAATAGAGGCTTCGGGAGTCAAACTTTTTCCTCCTTCCCTGTGAGAGCAACAGCACCATCCTTGCTGCCTCTCCCCCCTTTACACAAACAGTTTGGCAACCCTTGGAAAACCAGCGAAAGCTGCTGTTGCCAAAACGAGAAGGAACAGATAAGTGCTCGTAGTGAAGAGGAGGAGTATGTTCCTTGAGCAACTGGACCATAAATAGGATGCTGTGGTATTAGCAGGGAAGAGGAGGCAGTGGCAGTTGCACAGGAAGGGGTTTAGCTACACAGTAAAAGTCCAGATTCAGCTCCTGAGCCTTACCAGTTTTGAGCTCTCCCCATGATAAATGCAGAGCTGAAATCTGACATGTTATGTGGAATCAATACCTTTCTGATAGTCTCACTTCATTTCTGTATTTCTGAGGTACTTTGTTCCTACATGAGTTCCAACTTAAAGTTCCAACTTTAAAACACTGTGAAAGTCCTAAGTACTTGTGTCTTGTCTGACACAGAAAAAAAAAGTATCCCTCTTCTAATTATAAGCAAGTATTTACCCATTCCTTCCCATAAGTATTTTATATTATCACAGAACAAAACTTAAATTTTTGTCATTAAATCAACTGAATATAAAAGATGAAATTTCAGGGGCTGTTTTGTTATACTTAATTTATACTTTAATTCTTTAAAGTAATATTCAAATAATGGAAAAACTTAACTTGGAAAAATAAAACATAGACAAAAATACTTTGGGGAGAGCAGAAAAGAGATATCAGTCAGCTACAGGGGTAAAAAACCCCCAATCAAAACCTAAACTTAATTAAAAAATCATATTATTTTTAATTAAGTTCATGCTGATGCTTCACTAATTAAATACAAAAAATATGATCAAGCTGTGTTTAGACTACAATTCCACAGCCATGTCCTGAAATCATTATCAGCTTAAATACTCTGCACCTCCCCCCTCTCTTGGTCCAGCGGGTAAAAGTGTTTGTGGAATTACAAGATGAACTAGACCAGTGAACTGACCTGGGTGAGGGATAATCCCCTGGGGATGGGGGAGGGAGAGAAAAATCAGCCCAGGACAGCCCTGTGAGCACCAGCAGGCAGCCACCATTAACACAGGGCTTTGCTGTCTTGTGTTATCTACAAGAGAATTATTTAACCTTCTCTTTAAGTTCTCCACATCTGTTAGCAGCCCCAGTTATGTCAATGGTACAATACTTCAGCTCACTACTTAAAAAAATGGATTTTTAGAAACTCTTGAGGCTCACCTTTATGGTGGCCACATTACATACGTTTTATAGAGTCTGTGGCAAGAGCTACCTTTTTCTAACTCTCATCAGTAGGTAAAAAAGAGATGTTATCTTAGCTTGCCTTAGCTACAATGAATTAGAAATCCAAGGGAATCATTCTGTAGATCAAGTCATGGGGAAAGACCCATAACGAGGTCACCTCAGCCTGGCAAGACCAACTTTGACTTACACTCAGAGGTTAGAGCTAACAGGACTGAATGCTGCTGCTGTTGTTAAGAGGATTCAATGCGATAATGTACCCGCAACGGCTTAACAAAAGTGAGTCCCTATCTCAGCCGGGATCAGCAAACACCACTGTAAGTAATAACAAGTTGCATGAATAGTTTGAGCAGGTTCCAGTAGTGTCTGTCCTGCCTGACAGCTGGCTCACCGACAAACCTCCCAGCCTGGGAACAGAGATACATAACCATTTTGATAGTACAGAACTTGAAAACTCAGGCACTGCAGTAATAAAATATTAAAAATAAAATAAAATAAAAAAAGGCAAGCATAGCATTGACAAAGCATATTTTAGTTGTGCAGCAATATGTACGTTATGATACACTGTTGCAAATCAATTATTTTACAGTCTGCAAAACTTTTTCTATTATATCTCAAAAAAGTTACAATAAAATACTGTTCCCCTTGAAGAAGACATTGGGAAAGATGAAACGGGATTTAAGCAGGAGGGAAAAAACACCCTTGAAAAATATCAGTTTAAGTTTAATAATGTATCTACATATTACAGAGCAGGATCCCTTCCATTTCAGCATCTGAGACAAAAATCCCACACACCTTGATCCAGACTGAGAAACCTCTGTGGTGATTTCTAATGAAACTCCATGGAGTTTTGAAGTCATTCCTAACATATCCTATGTAGGACTGAGATTGTTAAAAACGCAACAAACCTGAGATGGTGTGTTTCCCTGACACATTGCCTCAGGTAATATTTTTCTTTTCTCCTTAAAATTGCAAGGGAGTAAAAAGTCACTGAAAATCTGAAGCTTTGAGTTGAGACATACAAAAAGGAAATTATTAACAGAAAGATAAACAAAAAAAAAAACAACAACCCAACCCAAAACCACAAACCACATTTGAAAGAATTCAACTAACCTTGTAAATCAAGCTCTCAGCCCTTAAAAACAAAACAAAACAAAAAACCCAACAAACAAACCAAAATTAATTTCAAAAAATAAACCACCTTGTATTAGTAGGTTCTTGGAAAAAGTAACTTGCTGAACACTAGAGAGCATCCCTGCACTAGAGTTCTTTCAGTGACTATCGGGGAAAAAAAAGCCTGATATGTATTAGTCTATTCCCCCTTCTGTGAGTCATAATGATGGGAGTAGATTATCAAAGGCTTTTGAACTTCACCACTAAACTGGCTAAACAAGGCAGGAATAATTATTCCTTTGAACATTACAAAAAATCAAACCAACACAACAACAACAACAACAACAACAAAAAAACAAAGCGTGGACTTGGAGAAGATACTTTTCTTTGGATTAATGAAACAATATGTACCAGTAACGAGCAGCAGCACGTAGGTACCGGCCGCGAACTGGTTAACAGCACAGATCTGCCGGAGGCAACTGACGAAGCAGAAAGGAACTGACTAAATCGCAGCATGACTTGGAGCTGACGTCAATGTGTATCTTGTTTGGAGTTTAACTTTTCCAGTTCCCTACTGCAACACGATTCCAGGAAATCTAATGACGTCAGCCTTTTGAACTTAATTAGCTGAGGAACAGACCATTTTAACAGTGGAGGAGAAAACAAGCTGGCGTTACAATACTTGAATTATTGCCCTCTCAAATTTGTTTGCCTTCAGTGTTTTCTTTAATCATGAAAGCACGGGGTTCATTTACGCGACTGAAACAACACACGCCTTTCTCTTACAGCTATGCTTAAACCCATTTTAGTTATCAAATCTTAAGTGCTTATTGCTAAACAAAAAAGCAGCGTCATTTTTGCTAAATAAAAAGCAATTCTAAACATGTTAATGTGTATTACTACCTCCACAATATAGAAGGATTTAAAAGAGTGGTGGATTTTTCAGTAAAATCCTGCATCAAATAGTAAAGATTAGTTATTTCAATCAATCTGTGCAAGAACTCAGGCACTAACAGTGGGTTTTTCCCCCCTCAAATGAAATAGTTAAAATTGCCCTGAAATCCTACACCGACTAGATACAACCAGAAGCTATTTGTACTGGTTTTGAAAGACGAAACTGTTACAGCAACAGGTTCAAAAGAAAATGTCACAAATGCCAAGTAAGCACTGCTTAGACATCCAAAAATATCATGTAAAAGACCAACAAAATTTTTACCTGTTTCATCTCCTGTTACAGCCATGATCAGCTTCTGCACACACGATTCTCCTGTTCCTCTACCAGAGCTCAGCATGAACTGTTCCAAACTAGCAAGCATGTGCAGGATTACAAGCAAAAGCACTGACATCACAGTGACCTCACTTGCTTACCACTGTCATTAATGTGCTCTGGCACTGGAACAGCTCACTGAAACTGCAGCCCAAAGAACTCCCTTTCCAGTAAACCTTTTTTCCCTTCCTCTTCCATATTTCTATAAGCCTAGCTTTGTTCTTTTTCCCTGAATTATTCATAAAGCTACAGAAAGCACTCACTCACCACAAAGCTGGCTGTAAAGCAAGACCTGAAAATTCACAGCACTGACTGACAGAAATTAAAATGTGGCTCCAGAATTCATAAACAAATCACAATGATAAAGTCATGATTGGATAGAAAATAGAGAAATTGTATTTAAAAGACGTGCAATTGTTTTGATTGGAGCAGTTCCACTAAAAGACAAAGAACTCTGTCGGACAGATACACAAGTCAGGAAAGCTTAATAAGCTATAACAAATAGGTAAATGAAAGGCTAAAGCACCTGGCAGTGCAGGGGAACCCACAACCCACTCATTTAATTTCAGTTAAAAGCTCCAGAAAGATGGGAGAAAGCTCCAAAAAAAGCTAGTGATTTCAGATGCTGTAACAGGCAGAACAGTAACTCTGGATAAGGGCTACCTCTCCCCTGTTCCCTCCTTCTTCAAAGTAAGCCTAAGACATCTAGTTGACTTAGTTTTAAAAAAATAAAAAATTCTTAACTCTAACAGAGTTACTCCTTATTTATGTCAGTTTAAATAAAATTAGTTTCAGACCAACAGTCCAGGCACTGGTCTGTTTGTAGGACATAACAAACTTTGAAGGCCTTTGTCTGTAATAAACAAATTCAGACTGGTAATTCATCAGCTGTAAAACTATGCCAAAGACAGCAATAACGGCAGCATCAGCGCAAAAAAGGAGTGCCCTGTGATTACAGGACCAACAGAAGATCAGAACTGAAGCACACTAGAAATTCAAGCTACAGATCTCAAACGTAAATGTTCATATCACCAGCCACATTATGAAAACACACATAGACTCCAACAGAATGATTTTTGATACAACTTTTCTACATTAATTGTCACTAATAATTAAACACTTTGTTTTGCTTCAGCTAGCAAACTGGAAACTATCAGGAAATCAGAACTGCCTCTTACTTTGCCTGTGAATGTAAACTTGTAGCAAATGAAATATCGCTCAGTTGGATCAACAGCTTTGGTGCTTTTATATTAATCCTTTTTCCCCATCACAGGTTATCAGAAAACATCAAGCACAGGGTTTAGGTGATGCTATCCATCATTACATGCAATTCATCAACAGATACTTTAGAAAAAATATAAATACATATACTATCTGAAAGATTCTGAAACAGATCTGTTCTGCCCTAGGGCTGATATTTGTTCCTTTTTGTTTTCTTTTTCTTCTATGATTATAACAATAAAGCTTATATGCTGTCTTCCCAAAACCATTATAAAAATATACATAAGTGGAAGGATTACTAAGTAGAATGTTGCTTTTCCATTATAATATGTGCTATCATGATGTTAGATGAACAGACAACTACAAAGCGTAGGTAAATGACAAACATTCGTAAACTATATTCGTACAGACTTTCTAGCATAGGCAAGATGACCTGTAGTAAGGACATATTAGAGACTAGTATATCCAATTAATTTAATTATCTCACTCCATCCTGAATAATTCAGGTTTGTTAGAGGACAGCCTTGTCAGAGGACAACCCTGTAACAAAGAGTCTGTAAGGGAAGGCCAGTCGAATGAAATTCCCAAGAACTGAAATGCTGAAATACTGTGTTTCCTCACAGACTGAGGAGGTTTCAGGAAACAACCGAGGAGCTACTCTCCGTGCCCTCCCACCTGCAGAAGCTCTGAAGAATCAAAGCAATACACACAAAATATTACAGTCAACCTGGAGTGACTGAGAAGCCATCTGATTTAAGGGATGTGTATGCATGTGTACAGAAAACATGTTAGGTTCATACTGAGAAAACATGTGCTACCTGAGTGGGAAACTTGTTTGGAGGACAGCCAAATGTGGGTCTTAAGGCCTTGCTAAGAATGTATTCAAATAATTCTTAGGGAAGTTATTACTTCTCTGTATGTACTCTCTGTATGAGGAACACTAACATTTTGGTTTAGTGTTTTTCATATTATAGTCTTAGAGCTTCCTTGAAACGCTTCTGAAAAGTCTTGGAAAAACAACATATTTCAGCAAAGAGTTAACTGGAGGCAATGGAAGAATTCCAATTTGGTATCATTATCTAGCATTGTCTCAACAAGTTCAGGTATCTACAAGCTATTGGCTTGATTTACATCCTGGGCTTCCTTTACAGCAAAGGGAGAGAAGCAGCCACTTAAAGACAGAACTTATTTTGATCATCCATATTAGGGCAAAGAAAGCACCTCAACCTGGACCTCACCAACTATCTCAGATACCTGTGTCTATATTTAGTCAATGACTCTCATACACTCCATGAATACATATTTAAAATCTTCCTGGCTCTTCTCACAGTTTATTTCAGATAGCAGTTCTGGCTTCAGCAAGCATTTATACAGCCCCTCCCTCCCTACTTCTCTGTACTGATTTAAAAAAAAAAACAAAAAATAGTAAAAAGGAAAAATAAATTTCCTATACCCTCCAAAGTAGCCATTAATTTAGTGTCTCCATAGAGAAATCTCTTCCCTATTTTCAAAGCTTTTCCTCAGCATAACCCAAATCCCAACTCTACTTTCCCTGGTAACAATAAGAATCCAAGATACCTTTCACTCTCAATCTCCCTCAGCATTTCCAAAAGGCTGAGAACAGTGGAAGGAAACAAAATCCTGCATAAACTACGTTAAAGTTCAAGAATTCACTATTCACAGTACAATTCACATGTGTGCATTTTATAGGCCTTACAAAATGTTCTTCCATGAGAAAACTAGCTTCAGTAAAGTATCTCCTGTCTAATAACCTAGAGTCATAAATTGCGAGGAAATTCTGCCCTAAACTTACCCAAAGAACTTCAGAACCTGTGTTTTATTAAGACTGATTAACTATTGGAAAAAAAAGAAGTTTAATATCTTAAATGTGATTTGATACTGTTATTTACTCCTCACAACTTTTTTATAAGAAGTAGCTGCTTTACTGAGCAGAGAAACTGAGTGTCCTCCTAAGACTGTCTTTCATCTCGTTATGCATAAATATTTTATTTAATAGTGCAACACAAAATAAAAAGCCTCTTCAAAAATTTTTATATGAAAAAACTAAAAGGCAGTAGACTAATAAAATGTACCTTGAACAACAACTTGGCTTCCAGGAACATAAAACTGCTGTGTGCCATCAGGTGATTGTCCTGCATATTGCACAATGGTAGCACCTGGCTGAGGAGCTCCTGAATTCGTCATTGTTAATGTGTGTAGACCTTGGACACCATCAGAGGCTGGATTAGAAATCTGGATTGTACCACCTTGAGTTATAGTAACTAAACATAAAAAGAAAAAGAAAAGTTAGGCAACAGAAAGAGACAGAACACATGTTAAAAAGTGTATCTCCCTTTTTTAAATAAGCATTGTCTGATAGGACTCCTGCTCCTCTCCTTGCTCAAAGATCATTTGTATAATAAAATTGACATAATTTCATACTGATTTCCACAAATAAAGTCTGTTGTGTAGTACATGCCATGTGTACAACAGATAAAAAGCAATGTTCTAAACAATTTTATCTCTATGCTTCCAGAAATATTAACTGTCTTCAAATAGTTTTAATACAAGAAAAAAAAAGAACAGTAGCTCCTAGCCATACAGAACCATTGTTATTTTAAACAGAAATTTTTAAAAGTTATTTCAAAAATAAAATAATTAAAAGCTATGTTTATCAACTCCCACAAAACAAAAACCAGGACATCTAGACAAAGGAAGAGCAACTCTTCTGACACTCACAATCCTTTCCTTAGTGTGAGAGAAAGTCTAGCCCAACAATGTTTCTCCAAGTTGTACAAAGCTGTGAAGAGTCAAATGCTTATGTAAAAAGAGAAAGAGAACAGAGGGGTTTTTTTCCTCCCATGTAATCAGCGATATGAAAAACACAAATATACTTCCCCCACATAGAGGTATTTAGACAAAAATCAAATTCCCTGGAGAGGTTATTAACTGTATATTCCTTTTGAAATTAGCATTGTCTTCGTTAAGAGCAGAAATATCATAGCATGGTTTGGGTTGGAAGGGACCTTAAAGATCATCTAGTTCCAACACCCCTGCTATGGCAGGGCCACTCAAAGCCTCATCCAACCTGGCCTTGGACACTTCCAGGGAGGGGGCATCCACAACTTCACTGTTCCAGTGTCTGACCACCCTCACAGTGAAGAGTTTATTCCTAATATCTTATCTAAATTTACCCTCTTCCAGTTTAAAACCATTATCTCTTGTCCTGTCACTACACTCCCTGATTAAGAGTCCCTCCCCATCTTTCCTGTAGACCCCCTTTTACATACTGGAAGGCCAATATAAGGTCTCCCCAGAGCCTTCTCTTCTCCAGGCTAAACCACCTAATTCTCTCAGCTTATCCTCATACGAGAGGTGCTCCAGCCCTCTGATCATTTTTGTGGCCCTCCTCTGGACTCATTCCAACAGGTCCATGTTTTGTACTGAGGAGTCCAGAGCTGGACACAGTACTCCAGGTGGGGTCTCACCAGAGTGGAGTAGAGGGGCAGAATCACCTCCCTTGACCTGCTGGCCACACTTCTTTTGATGCATCCCAGGATACAGTTGGCCTTCTGCGTTTCAAGTGCACGTTGCCAGCTCATGTCCAGCTTTTCATCCACCAATACTTCCAAGTCTTTCTCCCCAGGGTTGCTCTTGATTCATTTTCCACCCGGCCTGTATTCGTGCTTGGGACTGCCCCAACCCTGGTGCAGGAAGGACCTTGCACTTGGCCTTGTTGAACTTAATGAAGTTTGTACAGGCCCAACTCTCTAGCCTGCCAAGGTCTCTCTGGATAGCAACCCTTCATTCCAGAGTAGCAACCACATCACTCAGCTTGGTGCCACCTGCAAACTTTCTGAGGGCGCACTCTATCCCACCATCCATGCCTCCAACAAAGATGCTAAATAATACTGGTCCCAGCGTGGACCCCTGAGGGATGCCACTTGTCACTGGTCTCCACCCTGACATCAAGCCATTGACTGCTACCCTTTGAGTGTGACCATACAGCCAATTCCTTATCCACCGAGTGGTCCATCCATCAAATCCATGTCTCTTATATTAATTAAAGTACTACTAGAACTTTCAGATGAGAATTCAGTTCCCAAGGAGTAACAAACTTCTTTATCCCCCAAAGGATATTTAAACTACAATCACTGTCATTGTATTTAAAGTGGCTTGAGATGGTACAAAAGTCATATATAGGCACAGACTCAGGACTGCCAACTCCTGATTTCACTGTCAGATTCACAGTATGTGATGATATTACTGAAGGCTGAGCTCTGGTTATCTGAATACACAGATTTGGTGGACACCAACATGAGTTATGGATATAGTTGATTGCAAATGTTCTGTCTTAATAGTAGGTTATCTTGAAAGCGCAACATCAGAAACACTTCAAAGAGCACTGAGATACTAACAGTTGACTAGTAAACTCTTATTAGTAAATTAGACAATAGTAACTATCTGCTAGAAGCTCATCTAATTTTTTGAGAGTGTAGTGGAGTTATCTACCAAAATTGCCAAATTCTAGCAATTTGGGGAAGTTCTCTCATGCTGAATGAAGCAGAGCCTTATCTGCAACACTGGAACGGGGTTCAGCACGGACCTCCTGTCCTACCCTGAGAATGTGGAACATGTAATGTAGGAACTAGCTGGGTGCTGCATGCAGGCTCCACAAGGCATTAAGTGGGGGATGGGGAGGGGGAGCCTTCAGGGAAGAGTAAGATGTTGTTTCAGTCTGGCCTCCAAAGCAGAAAGTGCCCCAATCTGGAGCAGGGTGGAAGAGAGAGAAACAAGAAATCATTGTCTTCTCTGTTTTTCACAAGATCCAGGACAAGAGCAGGTTCCCTGGAAGCACACAAGCTTCCCAGCAGGATTTGTCACCTCTACATCCCAGAGAAGTTATACACACCTGAATTTTACCTCTCACGGAGTTAGCACCAAAAATAGTACGTGTACACCATCACAGTACCACAACGCACAAAAACACTCAGCTTGGGTTCCCGAGCAGTAAAACATCAGCACATAATCATACAAACGTTGTGGCTTCGCAGTGAGCCTGGGTAAAGAACCAAGTCACAGCTGTCCTGCAATGATTCATTCAGATCACAATCCTGTGCTTCCTAAACAGGAGTGAATTAACTCCAGTAACTCTCTCCCTTACAGGATCGATTCTGGCCATATTACCAGAACACCACACTGCCTCCACCACATTCACCATCCTGATCTCAACCACTGTTTGTTGTGCTGGAGCTTTACTGGAAACTGGGCCTTCAATGAAGAGTACAGGATTTTCCTGGACAGTCCCTGGAGTTGCAGATCATGCAGGTGGAAGCAAGTTGCCTCTTCTCTTCTAGCTAGGACTGAATGTGATACTAATGCCATTCTCTGAATAAAATCAACAGCTCTAATCCAGCAAAATCAGATCTTTCCCTCCTTTCCAAAACTGGGAAAAACAGATAAAGTTGGTCTTTCCCAAAAGCTTTCTTAATTCTCCAATTGTTAAAAACCTGTCCTATGACAGTAAGTAACCCAAACAGATGGCAGAAGAACCAGTAGTTTTCGTTTCTGCTGCATCGTTTCAGACAGAACAGGATGATATGCACAAGCAGGCAAAAGCCAGGGGGTGGTTGATTCACACACCAACTGAACAAACACCTCTTGCATAGTTAGACCACCACCATAGGTGAGACAAACCAATGTTTTTTCAGCATTCAATAACCCATATGACAGAACTACAGCCAACAGAGTAGGTCTGTAGTCACTTCAGGTTATAAGGTTGCGTTGGGCTGGGGGGACGGCGGGGGAGGGGACAGTTTTTGGTAGTGGGAGAAGGGCCACCTTGTGAGAGCGATAGCTCCCCCAGCTCCAAAGGCAGAGACCCCCCAGCCCAGGCTGGGCCAATCAGCACTAGAGAAACACCTGTGCAAATCCATATTTGTGAGGGGAAGGACTGTCCTGAAAAGAAGAAAGTGGAGAGAACCTGGAGGAGAGGCCATTGACCTGAACAAAAGACAACCATTGGCCTCAACAAAGAGAGAGCTTCATTGCCAGGAGGAAGGAGGAGGAGGGGAAGGACAGAGAATCTCTCACACCCAGTTCAACCGCAAGGAGCAGGAGAAGGCAAAGGAGGTCCCCTGCAGCCCATGGAAGTTCAATGGCGGAGCAGAGACCCACGTGTAGACCATGGAGAACTCCACACTGGAGCAGAAAGCTGAGTCTGAGGGAAGGTATGACTGAAACTGAGACCCCAGAATCGCTTAATGCCAGAGCAGGGGTGGACCCCCCATAGCCAGGGGGTGAGGAGGCGCGCTGGACCAGAGGCCTGTCTGCAGCCCATGGACGTCCCCATGCTGGAGCTGGGAGCTGAGCCCAAAGAGGTCCGTGACTCCATGGGAAGCTTGTGTTGGAACATCTGGACTCGTGTTGTTCCTGTACTTTAATTCCGGGAAGATCTGCAGAGGTGAACTGACTGTAACCCCCATTCCCTGCCCCCCGTGTGCTGGGGGAGAGAAGGTAGAGAAATCAGGAGCAAATTAATTTGAGCCTGGGAAGAAGGGAGGGGTGGGAAGAAGGTGTCTTAAGAAGTTATGTCGCACTGTGCTACTCAGAATGGCAATGAATTAAATTGATTTTTTCTTCCCCAAGTTGAGTCTGTTTTGCCCGTGACCATAACTGGTGAGTGAGCCGTCCCTGCCCTTCATCCTAATCCGTGGCCCCTTTGTTGTGACTCCCTTCCCATCTCACCAGGTGGGGAGAGTGAGTGCAGGACTGCATGGTCCTACCTGTGGTTAAACCACCACAAAGGCTCACACGCAAAACATCGCCTTACACAAAACTATCCATTCTCCTTACAGAAAGATATGACACACGCTGATGGATGTAACTAGGAAAGACATTTCATCTAGCTAGTCATGCCTGTCAGTCTGTCTGCTTCCAAAAGCCAAAGCCAAGAAGCTCTGAGGAAAAAGATATTTGGAAACCATGGCAACATACCGTTTTGGCTGGTAAAAGGAAAGCAAAGAACAGCCATTGCTGCTGCTAACAGAGAAAATATATTTGTTTTTCAGAAAAATTTACTTATCAAGTTCTTCTAAAAATAGTCATCCCAGACATCCAGACACCAACATACAGTTGAGATTATCTTTTACACTGAACTGTGTTTGCTATGCAGGAATAGAGAAAACAGTAGAGAAAATAAGGAATCAGCAAATGTGGTAACATATACTTGTTTTAAAACAGGGCGCAGTACAGATGGCTGTAGTGACACTGTAAGACCAGGTCTTCATTGCCATGGACACTGTACAAGCTTAACACAAAGTGTCGGATGCCTGCACCGGGGAACCCACACAACCAGTGCTGGCCAAGAAGAGAGGAATACTCAGATAAAATAATAATAAGCAGAAGAGCTATTGACAGGAGATGTAAAGGTGAAATAGATACATGTAGTGACCTTCTGCATCCTATCCAGACTGGAATCAACACAGGAGGCTCAGCGTTCCCCCACAGTGTTCCTGGTTTCAGCTGGCAGCAGTTTCTGAGGATCACAGCCAGCCAACAGGACGGCTGCTCAGAAATGCTGCAGATCTGTGCCTTATATGTGTCAAGGAGTGGAAATCAGTCAAGCTTTCTTCAGGAAATTCCAAATTAAGACCCCTCTCTACTACAAGGACATTACCACCCTTGCTACCACTTGGATTCAACTTGAAATATAAGTTTTCTGGCAAGCAATAACTTGCAACAGAGTAATGACCAGCAACCTAAGAAAGACTGATGTAATTTTTCCTAACCAGAATTAGAGAGAACACACATACTTCACTGCAGCAAAATATGTGTGATATTTTAACTTTAAAAGTTTAATATATGTTTAAAAAATAATAATCAAATTAATAAACTAATAAATTGGGTAAGAAAAATCATTTCTAAAAAGACAAAGCTCTCAAAACAAGGTTCTGGAGCCAGAATCAGGAGAGTCTATGAAGGCTGGCATTGCATCCTGAAGCAATGTGTCATTATGGCCAAGAACCTATTTAACAAGTTAAATTACTTTAAATATACAGCACGTGTTTTAGGCTATGAATATAATTCATTCAAAGAAAAAGCAGCATAAACCACAAATCTTCTCTGCTTCGCTCATGCAAAAGCCAGGTTTAAACTAAGATTTAATTAAATTTTTGTGGATTCTTAATTCAAGCTCATTGTTGGTGATGCTTTCTGTTTTGATTTTTCAGAAGTAAATGTTGGAATAAACAAGAAAGCAAAACCTGTGAATTTCATTATTCTTTTATACACTTCCCTGTCACTATGATTTATAGCTATGTTCAAATTAAAATATCCTTAATAAGAAGTTAAGAATCACCTCCTGTCAGACATTGCTGGTAAAGGTACAACTCTGGTTTCCTAGAGGAATTTGCAACTAAGAAACCTAAACTCCTAATTTCTTAGAAATCCTAAAGGTTTGGAGCTCACTAGAATGTAGTACAGACATTACAGCACTTCTTTTCAAGCTAGGAAACTGCAATTTTTTTATTTTTTTTTAAACTAAACCTAAGCCAAACTAAAAATATAATTCAAAAATTGAAGAAAATAATTTAATTTGTTCAAGGATATCTGCCAAATTCTGTACTGAGTAACATTTAGCATGACCATAAGTCCACAGAAAAGAGCACTTCAGATGTTGGACATCATGAAGCAGACATTTATTTATTTCTATACGTTACAGAAAGGGTAAGAAAAGCAGCTTTGGAGCCCAGGCAAAACTACTTTCTATGCTGAAGGGGTAAACAATATTATAAGAAGTTCTGCTTTCTCAGAGTTGATAATTACTTTAGTTGCATAAATTAAAAACAACTGAAGAATTCTAAGGGTGACTAGAATACAACTAGAGAGCCATTTTGTTCTCTTTTATATGCCACTGCAATGTCTTAATAGACTTCCTCTGGTCTCGTTTCAGGAAAAAAAACCCACAACATTTCTTTTGTAATTTTCCTGTCATTATATCAAAGAAAAAATACCTGTGTTTCAGTGTGGCTACACATGAAACTACATGGAAAAAAATAACTGTAAGAGTGATGCTTTATCCAATAGATAATTGAAAAAATAGTTAAAATTAAAATTAATTAATTATTAAAAAGTTATTCTTGAGGTGCTATGTGATTAAGCACAAAGAAGCTATGGGGAGTGAGTTACACAACATTTTTAACACACACACACACACACAAAAAAGAAAAATCTATAGAACAGAACCATGAATCTAACTTTTAACTTGTGTTTGGATGAACTATCAAATGTTGGAGACCACAATTTAGTTTAAATCTACAGCTAAAGTATATAAAGTATTGATGACTGGAGAGGAAGAGACACAGTTCTTTTAAGAAAGAAAATTCAAAGTTAAGATGCAATTTCATACTCCAACCTTACACTTTAAAAAACTCTAACTCACTAATTGTCATTTCATGTAACAAACAGCACTAATACATATCAAATCAGTCATCTGAAACTGCACTGATTTAGAACACTGGACAGTCATATAAAAGCATCAACATTTTTCAATTCACCTCAGCATTCCCTTCACATTTTTAATGTATAAGAGTTCAAGAAGGACTAAGTGTAGCAATCAGCAAACGTTACAAGAAACAGACTAAGTCTATAATGCCCACATCAGGAAAAATTAAATAGAAAAATGAAATTATTTAGAAACACAGAAGCTCTCATTCTGCAACATCACACAGTATCTTTGCAAACGTACTGTATTGCCCTGTGTTAGTATGATACAGGCTGGATGGCATGGCCATTGCAGAAGTCCCAGAAGGTGCTCCTTCATCTTCCGACTTTTCTTCTTCAATCTTTGGTACTGCAGGAGCATCTGATGAGAGTTCATTCAAAATTTTCCTAAAAAAGAATGTAAATAATTTTATATATTGGATATTTCACATCCATGAGAAAACTAAGCTACTGACTTTTATCAGACAGTTTTGCTGTAATATATTAACTGTCTTTAAAAACCAGCAAAATCGAAATGCAAAGTCCTTACCGGTACGAAGGCCTTCTCGACAGTATTTCCCTACGTTTTTGTGAATCAATTATCCCTTCTGATTCTGCTGATTCATCTGCAATTGATGCTACCTGTAATAGCAAAGTTTCTAAAATCCATAACTTCATTAAAAAAGAAGATAGCAACAGAGTAAAAGATTATTTTTCAAAATTCCTTCCACGTTTCATACAGAAAGTTTGTCCACTTATTTATCGCCAATCATGTGATCTCAGACTTCTTTTTCCAAAGCAAATCACAAACTATGCGGTAAGCAACTCATCGCCACTTAGCTGACATCTTCCATTTGAAAAGAAAAAAATATCAAAATAATTCAAGTTACTTTTTTGTGAATGACACCTAGAAAAAGTATTGAAGACAGAAGATTTATTTAAATATAAAAATATTACATAATTTAATTAACTTTTAAAGTGAAATTAAACATTGAAAATACAGAACATTGCACTAATAACCTTAAATAACAGTACACAATACAAAAGCCTCTTCACAACCACAACAAAGCTTATTTAGAAAATAAGTTTATTTAAATATAGACATTTATTACACTTACTAACACAATTAAGAAATACAAATACATTGCTTAGCGATACTGTGTGAGGTTTAGAAACCCCTGACAAATCCACAATGTCTCATTTTCTCAGACCTTTATTACTAGTATTTTCACAGGTTCTTTTTCTCTTAAAATTACCCAAGACGACATCAGGCCTGGAGCTGAATCACACTCTTTACCAGCAACTATCTCATTACACAGAACTGAAAGCGATTATTGAACAAGGAAGACATGCTATTCTCTTGATTCATTTAACTACTTGGAACTACTGGTGTGCAAAGTCTCCAAACTGAAACAGTGCAGCACAGTTAGTGTGGAAAATGACCTTTTCACATACAGACAGACCAGACTGCAGTTTCAGACTAAGCACTGTGTTAAGCTAACACTGAATAAACACAAGTTCTAAGACTCAAGTGTTTGACCTGGGTGCAGTGGAGGCTTCCCTGCAGCTCGGGGAAGTCAAGGAAGAGCTCTAGAACTAATGCAGCTGCCAGGCCTGAGTGCTCAGTGCTAGAAACAAAATCTGGACAACCTCAACAGAAAATGACTGGCTGGAAGGACCTGGAAATTTATAGGCCTGGCTCACTCCAAGTCAAACCTATAAAACTACACCTTGAAAGAACTACACGTTATTGCTGAATGAAATTCTCTCTTCACTTGTTAATTTTACTGCATTCCAGTTCTGTGTAAAAATATTTAATGTAGCCTCATTTTGTTGGGTAATATGTAGGAAATGTCATTAAACCTCTATACCTGCCTAACTAAAAAAACGACCACCTGGAAATAATGAGAGATGCTTCTGCATGTCTACAGATGTACAGCGCCAAATCAGACTTCAGAGCTGACTGGCAGAGATATAAGAGCTTCAAGAAGTTTGTATTCATCCTTTTGCAGGCTAGACCAAGACTGACCAGCAAAGACATCTTCTGAAAGGCATTTTTCCCCAGTGCCCTACAGCTATCTGCTTGTGGATCAAACTTCAAGCCTCTGGCATATGCCTTCAAAACTAAGAAATTATTCACAGCCAGTAGCCTGGGCATCCTATCTCAAAACACAGCTCTCATTCTGCAGGGGGGGGGAGAAAAAACAAAACAAAACAAAACTCAAACCTATTTGTACCAGGACAATCACTAGGAAAACAAGAATTTAGAGTCTTTAAACCTTCCCATTCCACTAGAGGTTACCAACAGGCACGCCTAGGTTGTGAGGATGGTTGAAGAAGTCAGGAACGGTTGTAGTTTGGGAAGAAGGTAAGGAAATCCTGAGACAACTTAAGCATTTTATTGCTTAAAGAGGAGGAAGACATTTTCTGCAAGAAATTTCAAAAGTTCTAATTTTCATCAAGACAAAGAGAAAAAAATTAACGTTTCAGCTTGTACTAAGAGCGAGCAACCACGTTCACAATACTAACCAATGGCAACCACGGTCATTTTTTTCCTGGACACCATTCAGACTTCAACTTTCCCACACTGCTCTGTGTCTGAACAAATTTAACTTTGAGCTCATTAGTCTGCTAATACCTGATATATTAAAGGGAGCGTAAGTAAAAAAGTCAAATAACAATCTGAACTTCCAACATTCCTACAAGTAGAACAACATGAACAAAACAATAAGGAACGTGATACAAATTAGTATTTTTTCCATCTTAAAAGCAACAGCATCACAAGAAAAAATTTTGAACACCTTCCAGCTTAAAGCTGCAGGTGTTTGAGGGAGAGGTCATGCAAGCTTTAACATCAACCTCCAGCACACTTCTTTTTTTTTTTTTTTTTTTTTAAATTAAACTGATATAATTTCCCAAGTTCCCCACTGTCTGGCAGAGACGGGCTATCAAGTTAAAGCTGAAAAATCTGGACGGAATGCCAGGCAGCAGGATAAGGTATTTAAGACGGGCTGAACAACCTCTGTAATAGAGTGTGTTACAGCATCTCCAAGCCCTTCTTGTAGAGTTACCTTATCTGCCATTAGCATGCCCAAATGAAAACAAAGCAAAAACCTGGAACTAACTAGGCAGTATTAATCAGGACACAGCTTTCCTGTCTCTCCTCTGGGAAAGGGAAGACAGACAGAGTTCACTTAATACAACAGTCATCTACTTTCACTCCCCTAAGAAGCCACAGCAGCAGCTGGCAAGAGAAATTCCAAAGAAATTCTTCCCTCTGAGCTTTGAAGCAAGTCCTCTGTTCTTGCATGTATGTCCTGGCCATACTGACTTGAAGAAAAGCAATGACAGAAACTGGGAATGACTGTAATATGCTTATCTGATAAAGTTCACTCTGGTAAACCACAGTTAAAAAGAATTCCATTTTAAAAAATATGTATTTTGAATATTCTTATTTGACTTGAAGTTTGACCAAACCCAAGTGTCTTGTCATCTTCTGTTTCAGTAGTGATCTATAATTTCAAAACCTTACCAGGCCCCATCATCTACACCTACTGCTTACAAATAAAATATTCAATATCTGGCAAAGATTTTATTATTTTTCTTTAATCTCTAAGATAAATCATACATCATATGCCTTGTCATTTATTATACTTGAAAGGTACTAAGATATCTCAAACATTAAAGGTTGCTTCTCAAGAAGACTGACAACGTGTGTCTTTCCCTTAAAACATTGCAGTGACTGCAGGTAAAACAGTTCACACCTAACAGGTATATAGTCTCTCTTACCAGAGAGATCAACTCAGTTGACATTTCACAATCAGATTTTAAGAAAGCTAGAGCAAAGGCATTCCTTGCAGCAAGAAAACACCATTGGGAGGCCAAGTCATTATCAAAACACTGCTAGTTCATTCTCTCTAGTCTTCTACACTATTTAAAAGCTCTAAAAACTCCTAAGCATTTTGCACCAGGCCTTGTTTTCTAACATCAGCAATTCTAAACATGTGAAGATTTGCCAAATACATGTTTATTTTGAGGCTGCCCTTATTTTTGGTCTTTACATATCCACAACCACAAAAAGCAATACCAGGTGCTCTAACAGGGCCAGCTAAAAAACAACAAGGAATCTTTTGACTATAATACGTTTAATTCCATTACATCCAGATGCTCTCCAAAAATACAGTATAAGATACCTGAAAATTTATGAATTTGTAGTCTCATTAGAAACATGATGTTCATAGAATTTAACAAACCAGAAAAACTACAAGATATATTAAAGGCCATATTATTACGCAAATTTGCTGCTGCGTAAGTTCAGGGTTCCAAGACACAATTTCTTAAAAGATAAACAGGAAGCATTAAGGAATCGCTACACAATGCCTGTAGAGCTGCTACTGGTTGGCAGTTTGCCACCTTTCCCCCCTCCCTGTTTCCCACACTTTATGAGTAAATCTTGCAGCACTGGTAGGAATGAAGAGAAACTGAAGATGCAATTGAGGTGAAGAGTTATGAGGCACCAAACATTCATGAAAACATAACAAGAAAAGAGCTAACCTGAACAGCTTGCATGTGTGGTGACTGAATGACTGAGGGCTGAGTGGCTTGAATGACACCCTGGACATGAACAGTTTGACCAGAAGGCAACTGCACTAGATTTACAGCTGGAGATCCTCTTCCAGCACTTGATGCAGCTACAGAAACCTGCAAAAATTACAATCATCATGTTTAAGTAACATGCCTTATGATGTCAGCAAATGCTTTTAGAAGTGATACTAAAAGAAACTGGCATTGATTCCCTATCTAAAATAGCATAGATGTGTGTAATTATCACACACAGAAATAAATTCATTTTACTAGCAAAAGTTTCGTGTGTATCTTTCCAAATGGTATGGAAAGCTTAACACTGTTCTCTGTCAAATTGCAAATCTATCTTCTTCCCCCAACCCCACCACCTTCAGAGACTTAATGTTTTCTCTTCAATTAAAAACAACCCTAAGCTATCACACAGTAAATGTGCTGCCACTAGCATGAATTTAGGAAGAACTTCAAGAAATGTAACAAAAAAAAAATAAAAATCAATATTAATTGAAGTGGTGTGTTACTGCAACAACATACAGGGCAGAATGCTCTTAGTCAGGAAAAAAATAATTAAAAAAAAACCCAGAACTGCTTTGGTTTTGCTTTGTTTGTTAAGCAAGAAGTTTAGTTTGAACTTATGTTTTTCAGACAGGTATCTCAAGAGATGCAAGAGCTTTCCAGATAGCAAAGAAAATTGTTAAATAAAGCAATATACAGATTTGTAAATTGTTTTAGTTTAATAAATCCTGGTTTTATATATACATTTATATATCAAGAAAAATAGAGCTGAAGTGTATCAGCACTTTGATACAACAATGAAAATAAAGAACAGCTGTAGCTTCTTTAAGCCTAGCACAGCTGAAGAAAGTGTTCCATTTAGGAATAATCTGATCCCTTTTTCTGATGACATTTTAAAGCATACACAGCTTTCCTCAGCCCTTGGCTCTCCACCATTGGTACTGAGGATGAACAGGTCAAGAAACAGCTAAACATCTATGGGCTAAGAAATAGTTCAATATTTATGCTGTTACTGTTAAGTCTGTCAACAGAAACAAAAAACGAAGCA